GAAGATTTGAATTTAGTCCTCCTTTTTTCGTTGGAAAAAAAAATTCATAATGTGGTTTGACAATTGCTGTTTAACAAAGTCGGCCATGGGCACAAGCAAGTGAAACTTGTGCTTTGGGCCTGAAATTTCCTTATAAATTTTATAAGCGGATAACTAGCAGTAAAGTTGTCAATAATCTAGTGGTAGAGGCCAAGTTCGATGGGAATTTGAAGGAAATATTTTGAATACTCTTCCCTGCCATAGTGCCATATGTATATTTTTTTTAATTTATTGGTTTAATGGACCAAAAATATTATTTAGTTTGGGGCTTTGAAATTACCAGGGCCGGCTCTGCTGGTTAACAAGCCATGATAAGAAGAACCTTAGGGTTTTGATGAGAGTAACTACTTTCAACATCTCAAAATGTAATGTCGAAGGCTGGGTGGGTCAAAGCTTATTATGACCTAGATTCCAGTTAACATAAATGATTTTTTTAATGTCTTGGAGATGAATAAAATTTATATTCTATGTCACCATAATTCTGACCCAAAAAGAAATAATATATGTCACCATAATTAAATCTTACTGATTATATATTCATTGCAAAACTCATGACTTCCAAATATTACTATCTCATTTTTTTTTTTTTTTGGAATCTTTAGTATCTCATTTCACTCACTCTTTTATGAGAACACAAATATTTTCGAAACTATCTTGCCTTTTTTTTGTTTATGTAATGTTATGGATGAAGGAAAATTATATTTGACAAGATATCGAAAGGAATAGCAAATATCAAAAAAACTTGCACTCACAAATTCATCATAATTGTTTTAAAATATGAGTACTAAACAAAACAAAATATGATAATGGTTTTAATAATGAGAGATATGAACAAATGATAATACATGAAAATCAATTACCTTCGACCAAAGAAAGAAAATCAAATACCTATCACGTAAAGTAAAATTTTCAACAATTATGTTTTGTTTCCAAAATAAACATTTACCACATTTCCACTATTTTTCTAACAGCTGTTATCTACTTTCTATTAAATATAAGAATTCATAAATAA